AGGGATGAGGACAAAACAAGAATATCGTCCAGGTAGCAGAGTAACCTAACTGAACGAACCCTGAGGGAAGCAGCTAAGGCAGCTAACACCTTAGTAAAGGTGTGGGGAGCAGAGGGGAGGCCAAAGGGAAGGGCCCTGTATTGATAGTGGACCCCCCCGTAACAAAATCTCAAATACCGCCTATGGGAATGACAAATTGGAATATGCAAATAGGGCTCAGTTAGATCTATTGAAGAAAGATCGCCCCTCCTAACGCCGTCAAGGATGGATTTTAAAGATTGCATCTTGAACTTTCGGTATACTACATACTGATTCAACCTTTTAAGGTCCAAAATGGGTCTCCACCCCGCCCGAGGAGTTAGGCACCAGAAAAACCCGGGAATAGAATCCCGTACCCCGTTGATCAGGAGGAACAAGTTGGATAGCCCTGATGGAAAGAAGATGCTGTACCGCAGTGTCCATAAGGACTCGTTTTTCTGGATTACGAGAAATCGGACAGCAAAAAAAGACACTCGGAGGAGGGGAAAGGAATTCAATGGCCAAACCAGATTTTAAAGTGTCTAGGACCCATCTATCGGAAGTAGATCTCTCCCAAGAGGCAGCAAAGAGAGCCAATCTGCTGCCTATGGGAGGACCTGAGATGCAACTAGCGACGGCGTCGGTAGGAACGACCTCCTCCCCCCCAAAAGGGCCGTTTAGAAACAAAGGGCCTACCATGAACCGATCTATCCTGAGAACCCCGGAATCTATTAAAGTTAGTGGAGGGCCGAGAAAAACCAAAGGAGGAAGACCCACCCGCATCGTTACCTCTAAACTGAGAACGAGGGGTATAAGGGGAAAAACGGGACTCCCCCCTGAGGAAGATATCTTCTTTTTGTCTCTTGTTTCAGTGAGAAATGGCTCCAAAGCGTCTCCAAACAAACTGGCACCCCCAAAGGGAACCGAGGCTAGGCGCCATTTGTGTCTAACGTCAGCTTGCCAGTGACGCAACCATACTAAGCGGCGGGCAGCCACGGAGGAAGCAAGAGCTTTAGAAGCAAAGCGGGCGGCAATTAAAGAAGGGTCCGCTGAAAACTGCAGAGCTGCAACAATTTTGTTAAGGTCCTGTTTGATCCGCAAACAAAAAATCAGGTGACAATTTTTCCTGCAGCTGCCTCAACCAGAGCAGGGTAGACCGGTTAAAGAACGAGGCTGTGGTTGCAGCTCTAATAGCCCAGGCGGACCCTTGGTGTGCTCGTTGTAGGACCAAGTCCGATCTACATTCGTCCGGGCGTAGTGCTTCGTCCGGATCCCCTGGGACGTTGACATTAGGTAGTAAGGCGACGATGGGCGCGTTGACAGAAGGAATTTGAAGAATGGAGTCCAATTCCGTAGCCACCTGAAAGTTCTTCCGGTCGTTGGCCGAGGGCAGGACAGCTGAAGTTGGAGAAGACCACTGCCGCTTCACTGTGTCCAAGAAGAGCGGTGGAGTTGGTACAGATGTAGTTGGTTTAGTAGGTTCGGCAAACATGGGGTCCAACAAGTCAGCTGAAGAGGCGGGCACAGGATCTACAACTGGAGAGGACATACGAGCCGTGGAAACAGCTTTAAACAGTAGTGACTTGAACAATGCTTGCAGAAACAACCCCGTAAAGGAGGGCTGGTCCGGAGGAAAATTATCATCGTATGATAGGCCCGAGTCACTATACTCAGCACCCGCCAAGGCCGAAGGCTGACTAGAATGAGAGCAGGACGGAGAATCAGGAGCCCTGCACTGCACCTTTTCAGGAGCCGGCCGTTCCGGAGAAACGGGCGGGGCTGACCTCACGGAACCAGCACGGCTGGAAAAACAGGAACAGGTGGCTAGAGACCTCTGCACCGCTGCCTCAATCATGTGTTGGATCTGCTCCGGGGAAAGCTGTCCAGGAACATGAACAGGCACAGGTTCAGGATCAGAGGCAGCCGGAGGAGGAGACAGAGAAGAGATCTGTGCATGTTCCTGATTCGAGGAAACCGACTGGCCAGAGGTCTCAGAGCCCCAGAGGTTTGCAGTAGAGATGGTAACGGGACAATCCTGGAGCGACATCTGATCCGGAGTGACTGGGCGAGAAAGTGTCGAGGGGGCTGAGGTTACCCATACTGTACAAGGCTGAGTGACAGCGCAGGTAAGATTAGCCCAGGCCTTGTCGCATAATTTCTTTAGAACTTTGTCTCTTCTTTTTTCAGCTCTAGATCTGTGCATCAGACTTGTGACGGGCGTTAGACGCATGTAAAATTGGGGATGGCTCCTGAGAGGCCTCCCGAGCTAAAGGCTGGTCAGCAGATCGAGAGTCTGGCCAATCACTGTCAGAGACACCGGCCTTACGACCGTGCTTTGATTTAGCCAGCGCTTTTGGCATGGTGTCTGGCAAGGAGCTCACAACTGAGGCAGGAAGCAAAGGGCAGAAATTGCAACAGCAACGGGAGCGTAGGAAACTCCACAAGACTACAAAGTCAATGTGAGCAGGCCAAGACAATAAGGGAGCATAGACTCCTCTGGTAAGCCCTTTGCAAGTCACAGTCCAAGCAGGCCAGGGGGCGTAAAAGCTCCACAAAGGCTTGCAACAATGGCCAAATTCAGTTCCACCAGGCAGGGAGTGCAAAGGGATTCAGGTGGCTTTGTCACTATATGGGAGCAGAGGCTCCACTAGTTCTGTGTCCCAATCAACAAATTCAGTAGTCTTAAGGTTGTTAAACAGCAGCAGGCAGAACAGAAAGCTATGTTTATTAATTTAAGGCTAGAAGCGACGAAAAGGTCAGTCAAAATGGCCACTACCCTCACTCTGAAGTCAAACTTCTGCTGGCAAGTAGATCTCAGTAGAAAGGAAGCAATCAAAATGGCCGCCGCTCCTATTTCGAAGCCAGAACCTCCTAAGGGCAATTAAAATGACCGCCGCTTCTATTCCGAAGACAGAACCTTCTGAGGGCAATTAAAATGGCCGCCGCAAACTCCAATGAGGGGAATCTTAGTGGTCGAGCAAGGAAAAAACAAAATGGCCGTCGAGACTTGCCAAAAGTAATTTCTTGCCGCCCAATTTAAAACGGAGGCTAAAACGGCCGTTCGATCAAGTAAGTACCTCGGAAAGGCCTCCCAGCCCAATCAATGAAACAGGGAAGGCAAGCGCCCCCTCCCAGGGGTGCTAAAACCACGGAAAACGCCTGCAGAGAAGGGCAAGTAGAAATCAACAATACCACAAACAACGTCCTTAAACAGTCCGAAGGTCGATCCAACAGATAAGAGGGAAATTCAGAAAACGTAGTCAAGAAATCCGTAATCAAAAAGCCAGAAAAAACATCCAAATAGAGCTAAATAGCCAGAGATATAGTCAGAGTTAAAGACCCACACGCCAGATCAAGCTGAAGGACTGAGTCAAAAGTGGCTCTGCCCGGCAACAAGAGCGGGACTTGATGTTATTGATACACTCAGTCCTTCACGTTGATTGGCTGCTGCTACCCATCCTGGCTGCTGTCTCCACTCGCAATGGAGAATATATCATTCTTAAAAGCTACTTTAAGGTAACTTAACGTACTCTACATATTTTACTCTAGTCTATAACTTTGTGCCTTAGTTGAGCTAATATCTTTAACTGATAGCTTGCAATATTGATTAAACCTCTAGCAATTTAATTGATTTAAATGAAGCTTATTTATTTAAATTTATATGCCACTCATCTCACCCATAAGGTAACACTATAATTGAAGCAACCAATCTTTGTAAGGAGTACACTGAAAGACAAACCACAGATTCACATCTGTTGTTTTTACTTTGTTTAGTAGATGTCAGACTTGTTTACCCTTCTCATATACAACATTATATAAATACATTATTAAATTCAGAAATATTCATTAGTCAAAAAAGAAGTAAAATTATGAAGCCTTCTATACTGTGAAGTTTTTGTCTCATGTATCAAGCCTTCAACTAATTGAAAATTCTGAAGATAATGTTGGTGAAATCCCAAAAATGTTAGATTGTAGAAAGGCTTGATTACAAATAGAAGATCCTCGGAATTCTGTAGGAATTTAACAATACAGTTTGAATTGGCTGATTGCAGCCTACAGATTAATTGTGTAATAGGTTATATAACACCAAATCTAGGAAACAACTACAGAAAAAATACGTATTATACAAGATGTTATACTGAATTGTGATTATTCACAAATGTTCCCGCAGAATTGTAAATATTGTCTAGGAGAATAAGTTCTGAAGTTTTAATTACCATATTTTTCAGAGTATAAAACGCTCCGGACTATAAGACACACCTACCTTTTTGGGGGAGGAAAACAAGAAAAAAAAATCTGCCTCTGCTCTGCCTCCCAGCAATTTGCCTCCTTGCAGCAAACAGCAAACAGCCCTTTTCAATTTCAGCTTCAGCACAGACTGATTAGCTCAAGCAGCTGATTGTCAGTTAGATCGGCCTCCCAAAGATCAGCTGTTTCAGGCTGTAGGGATTGCCATAGCCTATTGCCGCCTCCATGCGCTCTATTTTCCGGTGGGGCTGGCAGGTGGGTGGGGCTACATTCGGTGTATAAGACGCACCCAAATTTTTACCCTCTTTTATGAGGGGGGGTGCATCTTATACTCCGAAAAATACGGTAATCTTTAAGTATCTATAAAAAGTAGAGTGCTTAATTTTCAACTTATAACACCATGTAAAGTAGGAATTCTTTTTATTGGTCTTGCTTCTTTCTGATTATTCTTATTTCTGTACAGTACAATATTCTTTTGATATGACATTGCATCTAGAAGATCTATAACCTGGATCAGACTACATAAACAATTACCTATAATGTTTAATTTATATATTTAATGTTACTGCAAGGAAGCAAACAGTTCCTAATTTGGATACATTTTAAATTCCAGATATATAGATATTCTTAGTATTCCTAAGAAACAATATAACCAAAGGAAGAAAATGTATTTATGATATTCCTCCATAAATATGATAAAGACAGATAAAAATATTATTCCCAATAAAAACTACCTGTGGGCATCCATGGATCTGTTGTGGGCTTTGTGAATGTGTTCACTTGATCCCAGTTAAAATCATCAGCATCAGACTGACTATATCCACATGATGTAAATGGTTCATCAAATGAACAGCCACCTGGGGGGGAAAAAGGGAGAAAAAGGTTTTAAAAATGGAGTGGACTTCGTGAGGTTTTTTAAATCTTATTTAAAGCCCTATATGCAAACCCATACTCCTTTGTATATTTTTTCCAAAGAATCCACATAAATTGGTTTCTAGGCTACTGAGACTGCAGTATTATTGAAGTTGAATTTTAATTATAAATACATTGCAACTTGCTACTTAAGTATAAATACATCAGAAATGTAATCATATAGTTTCATTCATTTCAAGCCGGGCTTCCTACAGGTGTGATATATTACACAGTTTTCTATGAACAGATTGATACATATGCAAAGAATGTCATGTATAATGTCTGTCAAGACAAAGGCTTATTCTGGTATTGAACTGAAAGCTACTGTCAAATTGTAGATAGATCATTCACAGTGTTTCAGAAGCCAGTGTGGGAATTTATTGAGGATAATATCTCCACATTCCCAGAATAGCATCAGAATGTTGAAGTTATATCACATATTCTCAGCATGGAAATGGATACATGTGCAATGGACTGAATAATGAACAGAAGGATGTTCATCAACCAAACAGTAGTCTTTTCTTATGACTACTTATGGGACTATATAATTAGGAAGGGCTTTCTGTATCTAAAAGCATAGAAGGGCCATTCACTGATTAGATTTGCAATTCCACACCATAAATGAAACCAGCAGTATGATCAGAGAAAACAGCTAAGAGCAAAGGCATATATTAAATTAAGATCCAAATAATAAAATAAGGACAATATCTTTCAACATAGACCAAGGGTCCCCAACCCCCGAGCTGTAGCACACTACCAGGCTGTGGCCTATTCAGAACTGGGATGCATGAGTGGTGGCCCAGCACACATACACATGTACAGAACTCAACTTTTGTGAACAGTGTGCCGGTGTGCAATTACATGGCACGCAGCTCAACTTGCGCAACAAGTACGTGCCAGCCCATAGTTGGCATGGCCTGGTTCCCATTTTCCCCCGCTGGGCCACCAAACCGCAAAGTTTGAGGACCACTGACATAGACTATCTGAAACTTCATTCTGTCACCGAAAGTGTTATTATGTTTCTTCATATGCTCAACCATCACTAAGTATAATCCCGTTCGTAATTTATGTTGTTAGACATATCTATCTTTGTTTATATACAAGTTTTTCCTTCTGTTGAAATTTAGATTAGGGTAGATTAAATAATTTTACAAGCACAGCAACTGATGTTTTTTCAATATATTCAATATAAGAGCCGAGGTGGCACAGTGATTAGAGTGCAGCATTGCAGGCTACTTCAGCTGACTGCTAGCTGCAGTTCAGCAGTTCAAATCTCACCAGCTCAAGGTTGACTCAGCCTTCCATCCTTCTGAGGTCGGTAAAATGAGGACCCAGATTGTTAGGGGCAATATGCTGACTCTGTAAACCGCTTAGAAAGGGCTGTAAAGCACTATGAAGCGGTATACAAGTCTAAGTGCTATTGCTATATTGGATATGGAAATACTTGGGGATACTCGGAGGTTACACAAGGCTGGCTCCGGGGAATTATAAGTGCTTCTCTGAGTGAGGGTGCCGTTCCTGCCGCCTTGAAAGAGGCGGTAGTGAGGCCCCTCAAGAAACCTTCCCTGGACCCGGCTGAATTAGCCAACTACCGTCCAGTCTCCAACCTTCGTTTTGTGGCGAAGGTTGTTGAGAGCGTGGTGGCACGATAGCTTCCCCGGCACCTGGATGAAGCTATCTATCTGGACCCGTACCAGTCAGGCTTCAGGGAGGGGTACAGCACTGAAACGGCATTGGTCGCGTTGGTGGATAATCTCTGGAGGGCTCGGGACAGGGGTTGCACCTCTGTCCTAGTCCTATTAGATCTCTCAGCGGCTTTTGATACCATCAACCATGGTATCATGCTGCAGCGGTTGAGAGGGTTAGGAATAGGGGGCACTGTTCTGCGGTGGTTCTCCTCCTTCCTCTCTGGCCATTCGCAGTTTGTGTTGGCAGGGGGGCAGATGTCAACCTCGAGGCGCCTCGCATGGGGAGTGCCGCAAGGGTCGGTCCTCTCGCCTCTTCTGTTCAACATTTATGTGAAGCCGCTGGGTGAGATCATCCGTGGTTTTGGGGTGAAGTGTCATCTGTACGCTGATGCTACTCAGCTGTACATCTCCACCCCAGACCACCCCAATGATGCCCTTGATGTGATGTCTCGCTGCCTGGAGGCCGTGCGGGTCTGGATGGGGAGAAACAGGCTCAGACTCAACCCTTCCAAGACCGAGTGGCTGTGGCTTCCGGCGTCCCGATATAGTCAGCAGGTGCCATCGCTGACTATTGGGGGTGAATCCTTGCCCCCCACAGAGAGGGCTCGCAATCTGGGTGTCCTCCTGAACGCACGGCTGTCTTTAGAAGAGCGTATGACAGCCGTGGCCAGGGGGGCCTTTTATCAGGTTTGCCTGATTCGCCAGTTGCAGCCCTTTCCGGACCGGGACGCCTTGCGCACGGTCACTCACGCCCTTGTCACCTCCCGGCTGGACTATTGTAATGCTCTCTACATGGGGCTCCCCTTGAAGAGCACTCGGAGGCTCCAGCTGGTCCAGAATGCGGCCGTGCAGGTGGTTATGGGCACAACCCGTTGTGCCCATGTGACACCCCTCCTGTGCGAGCTGCACTGGCTCCCAGTGGTCTTCCGGGTGCGATTCAAGGTGTTGGTCACCACCTTTAAAGCGCTCCATGGCATGGGACTCGGGTACCTTCGAGACCGACTTCTGCCACCAATAGCCTCCCACCGGCCAGTTCGCTCCCACAGAGAGAGTCTCCTCAGGGTGCCATCGGCCAAGTTATGTCGGCTGACGACACCCAGGGGGAGGGCCTTCTCTGTGGGAGCCCCAGCCCTGTGGAATGAACTGCCCCTGGAAATACATAAGATCTCCGACTTCCGGGTATTTCGTTGTGCACTCAAGACCCTGTTGTTCCGCCAGGCTGGGCTATCAACATAACAATTTTAAATTGGGTTTTAAATTCCTGGGGTTTTTAATTGAGCCAAATTCATTTAATAATTTTAAATTATTTTAATTGATGTTGTCTTGTGTTTTTAATAGGCTGTACACCACCCTGAGTCCTTCGGGAGAAGAGCGGTAAAGAAATTTATTTATTTATTTATTTATTTATTTATTTATTTATTTATTTATTTATTTATTTATTATGACATATTTATTTATTTATTTATTTATTATGACACATTTGAAAGGTATGAGTTGGTGAACACCCTTCCAGTATTTTAGTCCAGTGCTTCTTAAATTAGCAGACCCTTATATACACTTCCTCCCCCTCTCCCCCGAAAGTTGTACTGAGAGGTGTTGTAAAGATTTTTAAAAAGTTTTGAGCTTTTGGGGCTTCTGAGGGCAAATCTTTCAGAAGTGAATGTGGTTTGTGACTGTCACTCCAGAAAGATTGGATCGGCACATTCCAAGATAAAAAAATATTATAGACAACATTTGAGTATGGATGGGTTGCCTGGTGCTCTTGAATGTTGTAAAGGTTAAGAAACATGGATGAGACCACATCTACATATTATGTTTTCTCTTTCATTCTAAATGTTTACCTACAATAAATTAGATATTCTACTTGTGCTTCAGAAGGCAGATTATCTTTTTTAACTATTCTGTCCTTAAATACGATTGAAAACAACAAAGAAACCATGTGAAAGTAGTACAAGGGAACAGCTGTCCCCTTGGTACTACTATTGAAGCTCATGAGCAAAAGAAACCCTGCTCTTCAAAGTTCTAACTTCTAGCTTCTAATTTCTAGCTACAACCAATGCTGATGTGATATTAAACCTGGATTAAACTACAGTGGTTAAATATATTATTCCAGAGGTTGGTAACTCAAACTCTCATAAGTAATTGTTATTCTGACCCAACATGATGGAAATTTAAATTTATGGTGGTTACCTAAGGCTTCTTCCTACATTTTGAACCCAGAAAAGACAAATTATCTGCTTAATTAGTATAGGTAGTCCTTGACTTATAACCACAATGGACCTCAAACTTTTGGCTGTAAATTGTTGCAGTTAAGCAGACCACCACTGGACCTAACTCAATTTTATAATCATTTTACAATGGTCATAAAGTGAGTCACCATAGTCGTTAAGCAAATCCAGCATATCTAATGGGTGTATTTCCATTGGGAAACAAAATTCACCAATTGAGATCATGTGACCATAGATTTATGGATTTTAGAGAACTTTACACAATCGGCACTTCTTATGACATCATAATTTCAAAACAAAACATTTTTTCTAATCCTATTTTTTTTTAAATTACATTTTAAAAATATTTATCATTGCAACTTTTTAAAATATTGGAGATGCTTTTCAATTAGCAATTGGCAGATCCATCCCTGTTATAAAAGCATTTCCTCTTATTGCTCACGTCCAGTTATTAGAGCATGGATCCTTCTTCTGCATGAAACCTGATATACCTAGAAACCTTGCTTTTTATCTTCCACTTAGGTGTTAGAAGTCCAAAGGTTGAAGTAATGGTGTAACACAAGCTACTTTACTATTGCATTCTTTTTGTTTTAAAACTGCTTTACCAATGCAATACTATTGACTTCTTCTCAAAATTATCAATGAGAATAAAATGTCCCTGGAAGCTTTGGCTAAAAAAAGAACAAGAATAAACATGGACTAAGCTTGCATATTAATATTCCTAATGTGAGAAATATAAACAATGTTATCATATGGAAAACAGCCATTTATCACCTGAGTTTCTAGCACTCGTCCAAATGCTAACATTTTCCTTTTAAATATCACCATCTGTTTTCCTTTATTATGAACTTCACAAAAGTATTACATATGCCCTAGTGGCACTCAGTCACATTATTTTATACTATGCTCTGACTAAAAGTCATTATCTTTAGATGTTTTCAGCCAATTGTCAGCCCTGCATTTTCCATCCCAAACAAAACTAACTGAAGAGTGAATGCCATTCTCTTCAAAAACAGCACCACCCACTGA